AAGACACGGTCAAACTACAAAAAGGAGTTTGCTTGACAATGTTGTTGCCGAGCACGCAGCAGCTAGCTTGCTCAGACCATAAAGCTGCTGTTAGCGGCTTGTTGTGCAGTGAGGTGACAGATACAGACACTCTTACTCTGCCACTTGGCACCAAATTACTTCATTGATGAAAAATGCGATAATACCGCATACCGCGCCGTTGAGCCCCAACATATTGCCACGGTGGAAATTACTTCACCGCGACAGCCCTAATCACCACACCTTTAAATAGACTTGCTGTCACTGCAGCCAATATAGAATTTATTAATATGTTGCTTTTAGTGTTGCTTCTTTATAAATATGTTTATAAAATTTACTGGGAAAGCACACACAGCAAACCAAAACAAACGTGGCACTTTCAACCAATAGATTAACAAGAATCTGGTTTGTTTACAGTAGAGATGCACCGATTGCATTTTCCTTCAAAAACTTAACTGAGATAACTGAGATCATACACAAACATTTTTGTAACTGTTGTTGAGTGTGCCACAGCATGCATTTAAATCTGACCAGCACAGGATTTGATATGTCACACTGATTGGCCCTAGTCACCGGTCATGGCTGATCAAGCTGAAAACCGGTCAGTCCAGTCACTGAATGATCGATCGGTGCATCTCTAGTTTACAGGGCAGAAGGACAACCTCATAGTTCACTGACTTATTTTAAAACATTTAGATATTAAGTTTCTGTCATAACAGAGAAGACTAGTTGAGATCCATTTTCCACAGTCAAATCATATAGAGCTGCAACCATTTGCTAATCCGTTAATTTGTTTGAGTAATTAAAAAAAGAAAAAAAAAAAGGAAAAAAATTCACACAATTCTCTGATTCCAGCCACTTAAATACAAATATTTCTGGTTTCTTTACTCCTCTTTGACAGTAAACTGAATATCTTTGGGTTATGGACAAAACAAGACATTGGAAGACGTCATCTTAGGCTTTGGGAAACACTTATCAAAATTTTGACATTTTTTATACCAAACAAAAAATCCATTAATTGACACATTAAATCGACAGTGAAGTTAAGTTTATATAAATATTTATTTGTGGATAAACAATAATTATGTATATTATTGCAGTAAAGATTGCATCAAACATATATGAGTAAGTATTTTGCAATTACACCATAGAACTGACCGGATTTGATCCAGGAACCAGTTTTCCGTTGAGTCTCTGGACACAGCGGTCGACACTTGCTTCATCTGCCAGCTCCACAAAGCAATATCCTGCTGACCCACTGCACAGGAGGAAAGATATGTTATCTGTGGGCAAACCTATCAGCACATCTATATGTAGCAGTTGCCCTCAGGCTTTAACACAAAGGCTGGTGTATGGCACGAGGTGCTCTGTATATCCTACCCCGTTATCCTGTGAGTGATGATCTTGACTCCAAACGGCGATTCTCCCATAGCGCTAAAGGCCTGCTTGATGAAGTTCTCATCCATGTATGGGTCCAACTAAACATACACGAAGAGAAATTGTAAATGCATCATGTTCAATTCCAACCACAGACAAATGTAAAAGATTTGTATAAGATTACAAATTGCAGCTCATAGACAGCACAAAGACATTTTAAGTTGGGTGTATCATCCACTCAAACGTGTCACTCCCACTTCTCAAAATCCTGTTTTTTGTCTATTGTGCTAAACTTTTTTAAATCCAGCTAAGCCGTGGTAGCTATGTAGTGTCCCATATTCTGACATTGGGTACACTTGATTGGTCGGCTACAGCCACTAACTTTTATCGCATTTTATAGCTATAGATGATGCAACACCAACGTATGCCAGGATAGCGATCAAGAGGACCCGCTCTCGCAACGTGAGTCTCAGAAAGTATGTGACTACAATGGTATTATATAAAAAATAAAGCATCATCACCAACAACAACATGTTTGTAATTTATTCATGAACCATGCAAAGGAAGGCTTAGAATATCTCCTCTTACTTCAGTGGATGTTGGTTATATTAACGCATGAGTACAATCATATTAATTCTACAGTATCCACATTACTCTTAACTCTTTCCCCAGGTATTTACCACATTGATGCTGTATACGCTAAATAGCTCTTATTAGGCTTCATTGCTGTTCTTACTAGTATCTATTGTCACTCCTAGATCTCTTACTTTTTTGATGCTTTTATGTGGTGCCACAAATGTAAGTTGCTTGGATAAAAGCGTCTGCCAAATTGGTAAATGTGATGTTCATATAAAATAAGTCCTCTCCTCTCTTGTGTCTCTGAAATACGGATCTTTCCCTCCTTCTGATATAAAACAAACCAAAAAATACATGCTATTTCAGTTACAAGGACCCAAATGGACTACCTTGGTAACTTACATTGGGTAGATTATCTTTTGCTTTATGTACCGTAACTCTAATGTTACCGGTCCTGTTCTTCAAAGTATAATTTAGTTATATCCCCAATTAAATAACATTATAATGTTACAGCATGGTTATGAGTTAAAAAATGGAAAGAGTTAAGATGGATGTGTCGGATGTATATTTACCACTCTTTCGACATGATTATTAAACTAAACACGGTAACTATCTTAATCATAATGTGGTTTAAATAGCTTTTAGTGCGTATGTAACGTTAACGTTAGTCGATGCTTAACGTTACTGTAACGGCAGCTCGCAGTCACTCCATTAGCTAACGGTTGCTACAAGGCGAAGAGCGTCGGGAACAATACATGGAAGAAAAGGCAGTTTGGTGAATCGTTTGCACACCAATGTTTGCTAATATTGTTGTTCTACCAACGAAGTAACGTTATCGTGGCACAGAGGTTAGAGATTTCTTCAGTTAACGTATTTTCAGAGCTAGGAACCAGCACGCGTTGCTAAGCTAACGTAACTTAAGAAACGTTGAGACTTCAGACATACATCACCCATCCACAGGCTCGTCTGTCTGTTAAACATCTTGGATTTTTGTGGAAGTGAGATGAAACCGTAGAGGATTCCGTGGGTGTTTGATTTGGGGTGCAAAAAAATTTGTTTTTCAACGTTAAAAGTTCTCCAAACGTTCACGCAGACGACGTGAATTCGTTGTTCCTCTTCCGTCTCAAGTTACTTCCGGTGTTCTGCCGAGTTTTTTCCCCCACAACTTTATTAATAGAATAGAATCTGAACAGGTATTTATTATTCCTTAAAACTAACTAGTCGCTATTTAAAAGCTACTAGTACTTTATTTATTAGTAGTTAGTAATAACTATCTTTAGTTACTAATAACTAATTGCACATTCTAGTAACTATTCCAAAAGATACTCTTACTAGTACATTATTTTAGGTCATTAATGACTAGTAAAATGGCTTGTTGAGTAACATTTCCATTCTTCCTAGTAAGAAAGTAATAGTTACTAGTGACTAATGGAATAGTTATGTGTAACTAAAAAATAAGCACTAGTAGATAAACAATAGCGACTAGTAAAATGGAAATGGTGACAAGTAACTATTCAATTGGTTACTAGTAGCTAATGAATAGATGATATCTGAACTGCAGAGCCCCATAGATTTCAAAGGCAAAAGTTTGCCAGCTACTAGTAACTAATGGAATAGTTACTAGTGACTAATAAATAAGTAAATAAGTACTAGTAGCTTTTAAATATATATAAATGGGTGATGATGGTGCAATGGTTAAGACACATGTGACCCGGGTTTGATTCCCACTGTGACCCATCCACCAATGTGTGCCTGAGCAAGACACTTAACCCACTGTTGCTCCAGATGCGTGCGACCTCTGACATGTATAGCTCGCTTTGGATAAAAGCATCTGCTAAATGAATTAATGTAATGACTTTTTAAGGTACAAATGTTAAAACAACTTGGTATAAACAATACAGGGAGTACAGGTTATATGTAAAGAACCAAAAGTCACATTAAAAAGTACAACCATAAAATAGACAATCTTAGATTTACAAAAAAAATTATAGGCCGTAGGTGAAAACCCCCCAAATATAATTGTTTGGTGAACCTTTGAGTATATTAACCTCAGTAGAAGTACCATCCATCCATCCATCGTCAACCGCTTATCCTGTGTACAGGGTCGTGGGGTCAGTAGAAGTACTGACATATTTATTTTCTTGAATTTGTGAAGTTAATCACTAATCCTAAAATAAATATTATATAAACATTAAAAAAGTTCTCAATTAAAGTTCTATATGAATGAAGTCTATTATCATTACAATTAAAGCTGGGGTAGGCAACCTTGGAGAAGTAGCAAGAGACAGCTAAATTTTGAAAGTATCCAACCGAAACAAATTCCACCTTCCTTCCTTCATGCCTCCCTCTAAAGCCACTACCTCAAAACACATGTTCATGCACAGTGAGTGTATGAGTGAAATGAATTAATTGATTGGCTGTGCTTATTATAGTCCTGCTACAACCACAGGATTTCTTTTGTTATTTCTATGTCAGAGCTTTTGATTTATTCAACGCTGTCAGGATGTAAAGAAAATTTCAGCTACTTTTACAAAAATAAACTGAAATATATGGCATATCCTAGGTTTAACCAGTTAAAAAGTATATTATTACTTCAGCGGCACTCTCCTGATCATGACCATGAAAAGCCTGTTTCACGATATCCTAATGTTCTCCTGTCAGTTTGCCCCCCCTGATAGATTTGCTAAGCTAATAAATATCTCTGCATGGTGAAACAAAAAGAGGCTGGAGAGTTTACTGAATAGGTGAAGGAGATATGACATGGAAGAAGTGTGCAGATATAATCCAGAAAATGTCATCTATACTGAGTATTACAACAGCCAGCTGACGCCGTCATTGTCTGACTGGACTTTGGCTCCATCTGGTGTTCTTATGACACACCGGTATTCAGCCCTGCAGGAGGCCTCAGTGCTGCTGGCTTCAAACTCCAAATGAGCTGATGGTGCACACACTTGTCAAATCAGCAGCTACTTAATCTCAGGTGTGGCTGCTGCTCACATTTAATGGTATTTTGTGTCACACTGTGTGGTTAATTTCCAAGTTTTCAAGGTAAAATTATTCTACTTTGTTTTTATCACAACAGACAACATGTCAAGTGTATGTGAAAAATTTGGAAGCCTCATTTTTGGGTGATGGCAGTAGCTTAATGAGTTTTTTAAATAGAATTTTAAAACAATTTAATGATTCAGTTAAATCTTGACTCAGGTGATTTACTCTTTTTCATCATCATATCACTTCAAGTATAGAAAGCACACTGCAACTTTAAAAACTTTTGATTTATTTACTTATGATCTCCCTGAAAAGGACATCGCAACGTCAGACAGTTGCATACTTGAAATGGTGATCAATACAAGTGAAAACTGTTGAAATATTACTTGCCATGAAATGTAGACCTAAGAAAATCCTATCCATGCATGGACACACAAATGTTTATGGGTTTGGGTGCCACAGATAAGAGGGAGAGATGGAGGTTTTTTATTTTTTAAAAGTGTTTTGGTTGTGGGCAAGTCAGACATGTCTGTGGTTGATTGGGTATTTTGACTGACCAGTATTTCTAAAATTGTGAAAATCTTCGTGGCACTGACTTCTTTCTTGGATGTTTGTGCTATATCAGCTAAAGAGCTGTTGGGCAAAATTCACAAGCCAACCAATCAAAAATATATATATTTTAAAAAATACATTATTACATTTGCAGCATGTTGGGTGCAGTTAATATTTATAGTGAACAGCTTGCATTCTGCGTAATGTGTTGAATATGGAGTACTGATCTCAATTTGCAGTATGTTTCTTTTTTTTTTAGACAGTGACCCACTTTTTAATAACAAAACATTCACAGAACTTTCACCACACTAAAGATCTTAAGATTTAACTTGCTCCCATTACTGTAATGTGGATGCTCACTAACAGTCCTCCACCTGCATGTAGGTTGAATATGGCAGCTGTTAACAGACCATCACCAGCTCAGTCAGGACCAAACGGAGGGAACATACACACTCGCCCGAGCAGCGGTATAACAAACTCTGGACAACAGGACCCAGGACCTCCGTTCCATCCCCAACACCACATGTCTGCCCGGCCTGTCTTCTACATCCCTGCCCCGGCTCCACCCCCACCCCCTTTCCTCCACTACCAATGGCCCATGCCCTTCTCTTATAACCCCTTTGCTGGCTTCCCAGGCATGGGTGAGTCTTGTGTGCTTTTACTTTTCCAGTTAGTTTGTTTTTGGACTATGATACAAGGAGTGGCCACAATAATATTACAAGCCTGCTGGTGTCAAATGCAAATGTCCTGAAATATGTAATGCGATGTAAAGTACAATTGGATTTAATTACACTGCAACTATTTTTAAACTTGAACAATCATCTCAGTTGGTTGAGTTAACCATATTTTCCCTTACACCTCAGGCTATGGTATGGTCATGCCCCCATTCCCTCCTCCCCCCTACATGGAGTCTCCAGCCTACATTATGCCCAACCCTCAAATCCAGCCAGTTGACTACAGGCGCTTCCTCCACCCCCATTTCCATGCTCCCAGTGCACCCTATCAGAACCCAAACCAGACCCGCAGGGGTCACCTGCCTCATGCTGTCCCTCCTAGAGAAACCGTAAACTCCGAGGTCCAAACAGAACCCACACAAAGAGGCCTAGATGCTTTTGATGAGGGAAGCCCGCATATCAGCTCAGATTGTGGGCTAGGAACTGCCTCAATCTCTCCCTCCTCTTCAAGCTCCAGCTCCCCAAAACAAGGCCCTACCAAGGCTGAGGACTATACCAAACCCAGCAGTAATTCAAATGACTTGCATGTTAACGGGACCTGCACAAGCAGTACAGTCAAAGTCAAGTTTAACATCCCACGTCCTACTGCAACGAAGACCGTTGAGTCGTGTATCAGAGCAACTCTAGAAACACTAAAGAACAGTAAAGACATAGTTGGTCAGGATAATGTTCCCCCTTGCAACATGTGGTCAGTGAGTTCTCCAGATAATTTGGTTCCTGCATGTAGTTCTTTTCACCAAGAGGGTGAGGTTGAGGTTGTCAAAGAGAGACATGCCTCTGTCCCTGACATTCTGATGAGTTGGGGAGCTGAAGTAGAGCATGAAAAGTCAATTTACCAGAGTCCAGTTGAGACAAAGAGTGGTCCAGTGGTGGCTGACTGTGCTGATACTAATGAGGGTGGTCTTAAGGACCATGAAACCCCTTCCAAGATTCTGAAACTGCCTTTTGGTCTTCATGAGATTTTCTCAGAATCCAGAAGAGAAAATGAGCTTGTGGGATTGGTTAGCTCTGTGAGCCAGTGCCTACCGGACAGAGATGAACCGCAGGATTCCTTAAATGAGTCCCATAAGCTCCCTGACAATGAGCAAGGAAATGGCAATGAGACGAATCCACATGAAGACACTACAGAGATCATTCCCTATAAAATGTCTTTAAATAGCTCTCAGAGAAAGAGAAAAATGAATGAGTCTGTATGGTCTGTGGAGTCTCTTGCCCCCTTCATCCCCACTAAGGAGTGGCTGTTGCAGAACAGCATGTTTGAGCCTGAAGTAATCATTGAGACAACAGAGGAAGCTGAAAATGTAAATCCTGAACTGTCAACCCAAAATGACAGCCTATTTGTTGAATCTATTAAAGAAAGGAGGCGGACGCTCAGGTTTTCTTCTTCTGACTCTGTTCCGATGTCAGACAGTTGGCTCATTTTCAGTACTCCGGCTGGGAAGCGAAGTCCAGCAAAGAAACCAGAAACGGAGAGTGAAAATTATGCCTCTGAAATGAGAGGACCAAATCAAGGCCCGAGCATGGCTCCTTCAGAAAAGGATCCCGTAGCTTCCCCGATTCAACTGCAAAGAGAAATTATTTCGTCTAACCCCACAGAAGAGGATGTAGATAAAAATAGGTCTTCTGAACCAGAGGCTATTCAATGCCCAAACCAGGAATCTCTGATTGTAAATGAGCAGGAGGAGAAAAGTCCCCGCTCTCCTGAGCAACAAAAAACTCTCTCTTTGAACTCTGCAGCAGGGGAAACATTCTCTTCTTCAGTCCAGCTGATTCTCCAAAACAGAGTGGACATGGAGGACAGAGGAAGTGAAAACAAAGGTGAAAGTGAACTGAGAAATGAGCAACTGTGTGTCCCAATGGCTGAACAGGAGATGGCAGAAGTGTCTCCATCAAAGGGACATATAGTGGACATTGGCGTCCAGTGTACCAATTTGCTGGATTGTGTATGTGGGAGTCTGAAGAGCAGCATGCAACCAAACAGAAAACAGCCTTTTAAATATTCAGGTGATCTGCTTATTACTTAACAACAAATACCATATTTGTGCCGTGCCCTTCTGCCTCTTGAGATAAAATGGGTGTTTGAACTGTTGTCTCATAGATATGAAGAAAGCAAACCATGACAAGGCTGAAGGATGCGGCATGAATGGACACGTGCAGAAAAACCAGAAGAGGCATGGTCCATGGAGGAACAGAGGTCAAGGTAGTGCATGTAATCTAGAAGCGATTTCAGCAAAACAGCACATCATCTACAGTCAATTTCTCTGATTGGTTGATGATCAAATGCTTGCCAAATCAGATTTCTGTCTATGCTAGTTACATAATCATGAATATAAAATGTATACATTTTCTCTTAAATCCTTGAATATGGTGTAAATAAAAATGCATAAAATTAGAAATGAGGATAAAATATTAAATGCACGTTTTAATAAGCCATCCCAACAAAAGCCTTAAATGGTAATGCATTCTTAAAACATGTCTTTGCCACATTGAACATCTTTTCAGTCCCACATGTGAAAATGCAGAAGCCAGAAAATCTGTCAACTGAATCTGCATTTTCAAATTGTATTGTCATCTTCAGGCCTGTGCAGCGTTAGATAGAAATGTTGCAAAATTGACAAGTACACCTTTTTAATCCAACTGAACATTGCCCACATCAAACCAGTAAGAAGAGCCCCCCCAAAAACCACACAAATCTCTGTGAAACAACTGTTCCGACCTCATCACTCATAGTAAGAAGCTGATTGAGAGAATACATTAACAGGGGAATTTTAACCGCGTCATACATGTCAACAGATAAGCAGAACAGCCAGCAGGAAGCCTACAACGGACATGGTGGCAAACCTGGGAAATCAAAAGGTGAGAATGGCAGCTTCATCTTGAATTGTGTCAGGATGGGTGATGGTGATCATGCAATGAAGAATGCTTTTGAAATTGAGGCATTCGTTCCTACCAACTAGTGTGAAACCTTAGTTTGGTTTGTGTAGGTTAATGGAAACAAAGACTTTTGCTGCAGACCAAACATCTACACTAAACTCTAAACTGATAATAGATATGAAATATTAATGCATTTTCTGCCAATAAAGGCAACATTTGTTTTAATGCTATAAGTTAACCATTTGAATCACAATAAGCCTTTGAGCAGTCAAATGTAACTTGACCCTGTCAGTCACCTGATTTGTGTTGTGGTTTTGTTTTAATCTGGTATTACCAGATGGTGTCATACAATCAGATCTTATAAGAGTTTAAAGAAACTCCTCCCAGATTTCATTACATTGTACAAAGGTTTTAACTGTTTTCATTCACTAACCTGCCTAACTGATGAAAGCAGGCTCTTTGGCTTAATACAGTTTGTTGCTTCTTCCAGGTGGAAATGGAAGAAGTCCACGGTACTGAGCACTGACTACGTTCTACAAGACGACGCTCGTTTTTAAAGAATCAATTTAATTATACATTTTTTTGTATTTCAATAAATGTTTTGTCAATATTAAATTTTTTTTTTTTTTTTTTGGAAGATGGGTTAAAGATACCTCTATTGCAAATGCGGGTTCAGTTTTTAATCTTATCACTTAATGTGCAAAATATAAAATGTTCTTTTGGTTCCTTCTCATTTTTCCAGAGCTTGTAATTTCTATCTGCAACTTGTTAAATAATTGACAGACTAGCTGGCAAGACAACACCTTAGGGCTCAAAAAATTAAATGTACGACTTTGAATAGTCCTCTGATCCAAGTTTTGGAATGTTTTTGTTGCGACAGGAACTTGCATGTCACTGGCTGGGAATGCTTCAGAAGTCACCATTCAATTGGATGAAGTCATGGAGTTCAGCAATGTCTCTGAAATATGTTAGTGTGAACATTAAAAGCACTGTTGGATTGCATGTGTTTAGGAAGTATGATTACCTGTATAAATGTGTAAAATTCATGTTGGATACATAGGAATATATTCTTGTGCAATGGTAAATGGCTGCCTTTACATAGCGCTTTGAAAGCAGTTTTTGCCTCCTTCACCCATTGTTGCACAGTGATGGCAGCGAGCTACCATGCAAGGTATTCGCCTGACCAGGAAGCAATTTGATATTCAGTGTCTTGCCCAAAGACTCTTTGACATGTGGACAGGAGGCGCTGGGGATCAAATTTCCAACCTTTTGCTCAATAGACAAGCACACATGAGCCACAGCTACCCAATATGTAATGTATTCTGTTGCAAAGTTTATTGTCCCATTTTTGCACAGCTTGCTGTACAGTACATGCATATACTTTGATAATGAGACATGACGATCCACAAGATTTTGAAGAAATGCGGAAATGAGCAGGAGGCATTGGAGCATTAAACACTATTTCCTGCATTCTGGAGAGATTTTCTGCTCCAATTTATGGTGTAAATGTCTTTATGTAAAGGAAACAAATTCAGCTGGGAGGTGACAATTCATCAATATAAAAATGAGACTAATGCAGTAATGAGCAGCTTGTTTTACCTAGTTTTTTTATTTTTATTTTTTTTGGATAATGCACATTTGTTTGTTCTATATATAAATTGAATTGCATGTTTTCTTGTTAATAAACCTTTCTAAAAGCATTTTAATTAACATTTCTTGGTGCAAGCTATTTTTCAGGACATTTTTAACATTCTTAAAAAGTGATAAAATCAGCTATTTCAAAATGTGTTGTCCCCAGTGTAAATGATCCCAATATGCACCCTAAACCAGAGAGATCACTTGGCAGCCATTGTGTTTGTACAATTTCTGAAATGTGCTTACGAAGGCGTGAATTAAAACATAAGGTGTAAACGTGTGTAAATGAAGCCTTATAAAATGACAGCTAGGTGATCAATCAATAAAGAATCTCTTTCCAAGGTGATCTAATAAAATGGTCCACATGGTCTGGATAGACACTAACGCATACATTTAGACCTATTTTGGGGTTATATTAACATGATTAAGATTACCCTAAAACCTTAAAATCAGTTTACACATCAGATAGGCCCGTGGATTGGAGAGAAAGCACCAATTGAATTTCCCTCGGGATAAATAAAATATCTATCTGTCTATCTGTCTATCTAATTGTAAGAGTGTAAATGATAGTCCACATTGCCTTTAAAAAACCTGTTTAATGTTGGGAAAGGAATCCTTTAACTCCTTTATTGACTAACCCCTACATTGAGAAATTGCTTACTATTCTGCATGAAATAATAATAATGAAAGACAACTGAAAAAGACTTCACTTGTCACTGGAGTCATATTTCTGTAGCCTACGTTTAATCTAACTTTGTGCCCAAGCCCCCAGTGTAATCCAAAGGCATGTAGGCCTAAAAGCAAAATAATTAAAAGTTTAATTTATGACACCGCTAATTTTTGTTCTAGCCTACTTTGCAAATATGCGTCAAGCTCGATTCTTCACTGACTGTCTTTAATCTAAACTGCTGATATTAGCTTAAACTTAAACCATTCTGTAACTGTAATAGTTGGGATTGTGCTCACCTTTCTTTTGAGGAAATTATTTAGCTGCTGTTTTCCTTCACTTTGCTTTATTTCTTTTCTTTCTTGGTACCTTGATTTCCCTTTCCTGCGGACAGACATGAATGTTACAAAGCACATTGATGCTTCAGCGTCAGCTGTCACTTTTCTTGATTAGCCCTGATTAGAGGGGGTTAATCAAAGTTCTTTCTCTTAACTGATGTATTCTGCCTATTTTAATGTAGTTATAAAACTACTTGCTTAGATATAAAAAAAAAAAATCACTCCGTCTAACTTTACACCCCACTGTGATTCCCTTGGCTGTAGAGTATAGCTGGAGGTAATTGTACAAAACCTGTGCACTAATGCTAGATGACACAGTACAAAAACAGTCTCATAGGCAGATGCACTCCTTTCCTTCGAAATGACATGAACTAGGATGAGACGAGATCACACACTATCCGAGGTCATAGGTCATGGCCTAGCCGGGAAATCTCGTCCAGCAGAAAGTCAACGTCTTCTTGCTCTGTGGCAGGATTGGAGAACACACACCTGAAGAAATTCACTTTGTCTCCCAAAGGCTGATAGCCAATCAGTACAGAGCCCTTCTCCATCATCCTGCCTTTGATCCAAGGAGCCACCTACAGAGACATAAAGAGTCAAGATCACCATCAACAGTGCGAACCGCTTTTCTTTATTTGAAGTGGCGCCTGACCATCACTGAACCTGTCCAGAGGAACCACTGTCAAGTTCTGTACTGACCTGATGGAGTCTGGTGTCTCTGTCAGGTCCAGGTGGAAGGCCTCTCAGACTGGGAGGGATGTACCAGAAACATACGTTGCTGTGCTCTGGCTGTGTGAGAGGGAGAGGCCGAAAATGCACAGTAAGATTTGATTGGTGATTTAGGGAACACAAAGAAGTAAATAAGAAAATAGAATAATAACAATTAAATGAAAACTGAACTAAAACCAACCAAAAATATACAATGATGATGCCTGGGGTAATATTCAGTACATTGTAAACAAGGCTAATTGGGCTGAAATTAGCAAACTACCTACCAATGTAGCCTATCTTTATTCACCAATTTACTCAAGTCTTTATCTTAGTTGCCCCACCAAATTACCATGCACACTGGCAATCCCTTCTTAAAAATAAAACGCTTACTTTGTTTTTGAACACCAGTTCGAAGTCTTTCCTCCTCTGCAGTTGATCATACAGATACTCAGCATTCTCTAAGCATTTGTTGACCTGATTTCCAAAGCCCTCTGAGCCCTGAGAGAGACAGGCAGTTAAACAGGCATACAGATATCTTATCACCTAGCCTTTTAGGGGCTAGATGGACATGACCAGAACTTTTAC